GGAGTTTCACCATGTTGGCCAGGATGGTCTCAATCTCTTGACCTCGTGATCCACCTGCCTCGGCCTCCCAAAGTGCTGGGATTACAGGCGTGAGCCACCACACCCAGCCAATTTAAATAGTCTTTAATGTGCTAATTCATTTGGTAAATATATACTGAGTATCTTCTCTGAGCTAGAGAAGAATCTCCTGCAAAATGTGAAGCTCCTAGATTAGAGGGAGGACAAGCAGGAAACAAACACTCACACGAATATACTGTTATAAATGGGGAGGGGTGCCAAGTTGAAAAAGCCATGGTGCTCTGAGAGAAAGTGATTAAGAGTCACAGAGGGCCTCTTCAAGGACATGAACTCTCAGTTGCAGCCTGAACAGATCAGTAGGAATCACCAGACTTAGAGTAGGGCATGATCATGTCTCAGAGGGAACAGGCTGTGCCTAAAGCCCAAAGCGGGTGTTGATTGCTGAGTAGGTCTGAGGTCAGCATGGCGGGAATGCAGTAATCAAGGGAGAGCATCAGAGACACAGGAAAGGACTGGGTATGTGATGCCTGGTAGGCCAGGGCAAGGGGTCGCTGCTTTATCCTAAGAGCAGAGGGCACCATGAAAGGGTTTTAAGCTAGAACAACATGGCTGGCCTTAGCCTACAGCTTGAAACAAGCAGCATGGATCTGTTGTGGAGAAGGTCTTCAAGGAGGCAAGAGAGAGCAATGAATGACCAGTCAGGAACACATTGCACTAGTCCAAGTGAGATGAGTGATGGCTTAGGTGCCTGTGTGTGTGGTGAGGATGGGGGATGAGAATGAGGGCAAAACAAATGTCAAAAATGACACAGAGCTTGACTTGAGCAATGGGGTGCATGAGATACTTTTATTCTTTGGGATTGGGAGGGGAATATTAGGGCATGTTTGAGAGTTCATCCATCATGCTCCATTTGATCCATTGGTTCACTTTTACGATATTGGTCAAATATTTTTAAAAAATGAATGAATGGATCAAATGTGGGTATAAGAGTACCTGCTTCCTCAAATACTTTAAATACATGTTTGTTGACTGAATGAATGAACGAGTAAAATAATCTATTCCTTGATTCAGTTCATCAAATGATATCATCAATGTCAAGCAATTTGAGCTTCATAAGGGAAATCTTCATAAGACTTTCTTAAGTATTATCCTTGTTGATAAATATATTAATGAGATTAGGACCACTCAGCTCTTTTCCTAGGGAAATAGCCTGGGTAAACAGAGAACAGAGAAATGGATGCTTTCTTATATGTGCTTTGGAGCCCAGCTGGGTTTAAAGTGTTCTGTCTGAATCAGCTGTCAATTCCTGAACCATTCTGCCCTCTGTGTCTCCCCAGATGCGCACGACATCACGTTCGACCTGGACACGGCACACAGGTATCTCCGGCTGCAGGAGGACAACCGCAAAGTCACCAACACCACACCCTGGGAGCACCCCTACCCGGACCTCCCCAGCAGGTTCCTGCACTGGAGGCAGGTGCTGTCCCAGCAGAGTCTGTACCTACACAGGTACTATTTTGAGGTGGAGATCTTTGGGGCAGGCACCTATGTTGGCCTGACCTGCAAAGGCATCGACAGGAAAGGGGAGGAGCGCAACAGTTGCATTGCTGGGAACAACTTCTCCTGGAGCCTCCAATGGAATGGGAAGGAGTTCACGGCCTGGCACAGTGACATGGAGACCCCGCTCAAATCTGGCCCTTTCCGGAGGCTCGGGGTCTATGTCGACTTCCCAGGAGGGATCCTTTCCTTCTATGGCGTAGAGTATGATGCCATGACTCTGGTTCACAAGTTCGCCTGCAAGTTTTCAGAGCCAGTCTATGCTGCCTTCTGGCTTTCCAAGAAGGAAAACACCATCCGGATTGTGGATCTGGGAGAGGAACCCGAGAAGCCAGCACCGTCCTTGGTGGAGACTGCTTCCTAGCCTACAGGAACCATATGCCAGGCCTTTGCTAGCCATGGTGATGGCATTTGCATTTTAGGGTGATTTGTGGGCAGAAATAACTGCCAATGGCAGCAGGCTTTTGAAATCCTATGCATCTCTGAACGAGAAGATTCTCCAGCTACTCTCTTTTGCTCCATACGGTGCTGTTCCTTATGTGTTTGTAGTAATTCTTTTTTTTTTTCTTTTTATTGAGAGAGTCTCTCACTGTTGCCTGTGCTGGAGTGCAGTGGCGTGATCTTGGCTCACTGCAACCTCCACCTCCCAAGTTCAAGTGATTCTTCTGTCTCAGCCTCCCGAGTAGCTGGGATTACAGGCGCCTGCCACCATGCCCAGCTATTTTTTTGTATTTTTAGTAGAGACAGGGTTTCACCATGTTGGCCAGGCTGGTCTTGAACTCCTCACCTCGTGATTCACCCTCCTCAGCCTCCCAAAGTGCTGGGATTACAGGTGTGAGCCACGCCTGGCCTGTTTGTAGTAATCTTAGGCACCAAGTCTCCCTCATCTCCTAGTACCATTCTCCTGTCTGCTCAGGTAAATGTCACATTGTGCCCAGAATGGATGACCAGGAATCTTCAGAGTGGCTGAGAAGATTGTAGAGTTATCATAATAAATTGCAAACTTGGGTATTTCCTATGTGCCAGACACTGTTCCTTGTGCTTCCTGCACATTAACTCACTTCATCATCACAGAAGACTCATGGGGTAGATGCTTATATCATCCTTATTTTGGAGATGGAGAAACCATGGTCCAGGGCAGTTAGCTAACTTGTTCATGGTCACTCTGGACACATGGTCAGTGAGTAGCCGAGCTGAGATTCAAATCTGGGTAGAATGACACTGGATTTTTAAGCACCACATCATATTGCCTTCCTTATTAGATCATGGACATTGTATATAAGGGAATAATGTGCATAGCAGAGAAATAGAGCATCTGAAACCCACGTCTTTGAGTTTGCAAATCCACACACAACATCTGACTCGGCCCGTGCTGCCATGCACTGACTCACTGCCTCACTGCCCCAGTACCTCCCACAGCAGCACTTTCTATTTTGGGACAGCAAGGATTAGAAGAAATGTCTTAATAGAGTCTTAGTCCCTGTGACCTCTGGGAAGGGGCCCTACTCCTCTAAAGTAACCCGGAGTATGTGGACTTGTCTGATTTCTCATTCAAAGAATGGTTCTTTGAGAACTCACGTAACCCCCACACCCCTGATGTTCTTGTTTTCATGTTAGATTTCTCACCTTCCTTTATGGTTCTCAGTCCTTTGCCTCTGATTATTTCATCTTCTTTTGACAGATAAGCTTCCTAAGATTAATCACAAGCATTCATCAAGCCTTTAAGCAAATGGCAAACTGTCTTTAAATGGGTTTCCAAGACTATAACCTGAAGTCTCTGGTGGGATTCACCAGATATATAACTTTTGAGTCAGTTCCTGTGACCTCTGTCAAGGCAAATCTCTTTTTCTTCAATCAGTCTGATTGGCCTGTCTCAAGAGTATATTACTTCAGAATAACATGACTTGTATCTATATTTGTGTCTAAGGATATATACAGTGTGAGATTTAAAATGATTTTACTTTAATTTCATTACATGATTGCTTCATGCTGAGATACTTTCAATTCATGATTCCTCATCCAGTATATTCCCTCTCCTTCCTAGCTTAGTGTCACCTGCACAATTGGTAACCCTTTCTTCTTCTTTTTTTTTTTGAGATGGAGTCTCGCTCTGTCACCAGGCTGGAGTGCAGTGGCACGATCTTGGCTCACTGCAACCTCCACCCCCGGGTTCAAGTGATCTTTGATATGCTATGTCAGATATACCTCCTGAGTAGCTGGGATTACAGGCGTGTGCCACCATGCCTGGCTAATATTTGTATTTTTAGTAGATACAGGGTTTCACAATGTTGGCCAGGCTGGTCTCGATCTCCTGACCTCGTGATCTGCATGCCTTGGGCTCCCAAAGTGCTGGGATTACAGGTGTGAACCACCGCACCCGACCAGTGCTTTTTTCTTAAGTCTTATCCTTGTTGATAAATATATTGACAAGTGTAGGACCAAATCTAGAATCTTGTGACACTCAGTCAATAGCTTCTAGGTTTAGTTATATACAAATTATGTATGAGTGGGCTGGGTGTGGTCGCTCACGCTTGTAATCCCAGTACTTTGGGAGGCCGAAGTGGACAGATCACGAGGTCAGGAGATCGAGACCATCCTGGCCAACATGGTGAAACTCCATTTCTACTAAAAATACAAAAAAATTAGCTGGGTGTGGTGGTGCACGCCTGCAGTCCCAGGTACTCGGGGGGCCGAGGCCAGAGAATTGCTTGAACCCAGGAGGCAGAGATTGTAGTGAGCCGAGATTGCGCCATTGTACTACAGCCTGGGCGACAGTGTGAGACTCCGTCTCAAAAAAAAAAAAATATATATATATATATATGCATGGGTGTAACTGCAATAATGTTAGCCCCCACTCTTTTCACCTTTATCCACTGATCATGATGAAAGCCGTTTTCAGTGGCAGAAATCAAGTTTTGGTCTGAAAACTGAAAATTGCCTAAAACATAAAAAATAAGGAAAGAAAACAGAACAAGGGCTTGTTTTAGGCAGGGCATGATGGCTCATGCCTATAATCCCCGCACTTTCTGAGGCCAAGGCAGGTGGATCACTTGAGGTCAGGAGTTCGAGACCAGCCTGGCCAACATGGTGAAACTCTTGACTCTACTAGAAATACAAAAATTAGCCAGGCATGGTGGTGCGTGCGTATAATCCCAGCTACCTGGAAGGCTAAGGTAGGAGAATCACTTGAACCCAGAAGGTAGCGGTTTAAGTGAGCCAAGATCATGCCACTGCACTCCAGCCTGAGTGACAGAGCAAAATTTCATCTCAAAAAAAAAAAAAAAAAAAAAGCTATGACTGAATTTCTTTGATCTACCTGTCTAATAATGATCTCAAAAGACAAATTGAGATCAGCTTCGACTGCTTCGTTTTACTGAACCCCTACTGGTTGTTGGTGCTTGGTCATTTTCTTTTCTAAATGCTCACAAAATATTTGATAAACCACTTTAGAATTCTGTTGTGGGTTAATATCACGTTTACAAGTCTGTTGTTTCCAGAATCTATCTTATTTTTCTTTTAAACACATCAAGATAATTTTGCCTGCCTTCATTTGATGCAGTTTGTTTATTTGTCCCCTCCAAATCTTACGTAGAAATTTGATCTCCCGGGGCCGAGTGCAGTGGCTCACGCCTATAATCCCAGCACTTTGGGAGGCCGAGCTGGGCAGATCACGAGGTCAGGAGTTTGAGACCAGCCTGGCCAATATGGTGAAACCCATCTCTACTAAAAATACAAAAATTAGCTGGATGTGGTGGCGCACACCTGTAGTCCCAGCTACTTGGGAGACTAAGGCAGAAGAATCACTGGAACAATCAGAGGTTGCAGTGAGCTGAGATCGCTACTGTACACCAGCCTGGGCGACAGAGCGAGACTATGTCTCAAAAAAGAAACAGAAATTTGAAAATTTGATCTCACATGTTGGAGGTGAAGCCAGGTGGGAGGCTTTTGGATGATGGGGGTGGATCTGTTATGAATCTTGTACAGCCTGCATAACCATAAGACAAATCAACTTCTTTTCTTTATAAATTACCCAGCCTTAGGTATTCCTTTATAGCAACACAAAGGGACTAGACCACTGTCCTCTATCATTCTCCCTAGTTTCTCAGAGATTCCCACCTGATTTGCAGTCACATCATTAAATTGTGTCAGAGTCCTGAAATGTAATTTATTTAGGCCAGAATACTTGAGCTCATATAAAAGGAACCATTTAGGTGTCTCCTTAGTTGTCTTGGACTTCATTTTCCTGTTAACTCTTTTTGTCTATTAGTTTTCAAGTTCAAGACCTTTCTTCTTAATATGAAAGATAAAAGCAAAATTAAGAGTTGGGCATATTGCTTTCTGCCATTGCCTCAAGCACTGGGGACGTCTTTTTTCTTTTTCTTTTTCTTGGTCTGAAAACTGAAAATGGCCTAAAACAAATAAAAAATAAGGAAAGAAAAAACAGAACAAGGGCTTGTTTTATATTCTCTGGCATTTTCCTTAGCTGTGTGTGTGCCACTCTTTTGTATTTACCCATCCTAATCTCCTCTTTCATTAAGTAGACTTATTTAAAAAAATAAATAAACCAAACAAAAATCTGAATTCACCAAGAGCTTGCTTTGGTGCCATATGGTTCTGCTACATTACCATACCATTTGTGATTGCAGAGTCAGAATGTAATTGTAACCGCCACGTCCATAATTCATTCTTAACTCTGAAATCTGCATGCATACGCATTCATTTCTGAGTATCTTATGAATTATGAATAAACCCCCACTTTCTCAACCAAGATGCATGATAAAGTAATAACATAATGGTATTGGCCCAATCATGGAGCTTTTATCTCCTCCATCTGGCTCAGCATGTTTTTGGAATGATATCCCTAAATTAAGTAGATTCAATAATATACGTGGCATTTATAATGTGCAAGCTTCTTTGCTAGGCGCTAAGAAAGAGTAACCCAGAAACTAACTAGCTGTGTAATTTGATCACAAGAAGGGGATTTAAATTGAAGTAAAAGTGTTCATACGTGAAAAGCTAAATAAATTTGCTCTTCAAGACAATAATAGACAAGGTGATACACGAAGCGGGTTTCTCACGCTGTGTCTTGGCGTGCTGCTTCATTTTCTCAGGCCATCTTCAGAGACTGGCTTCTGTCTTGTGTCCTTGAGTGACCTACTCCCTGGTTGCTCCCTATCTCTGCAGCGACTGGTTCCATTCCAGGGGCCGCCACTCCAGCCGCAGATGGGAGATGGAAGGAAAGGTAGTGCATATACTTCCTGCTTCTCTTGGCTTCCTCAGATTTCAGCACCGACTCCCTCCCTCTGCACTTGTGATTAGACATCTTGGTGGCTGGGGAGGAGGCCCTTGCAGGGCAGTCTGCTGTTCATATGCCCCCAATATGTCCATGCCGGGCACAGACTGCACATGAGTCAGGTAGAGTGTTGGTCATGCCTGCTTTGCAGGAATATGCCTAGTTTTATCTCTATTTCTGGCTTGTTGGGAAAATCCCACTATCTCCCAGAAGGAAGAAGGTCAAGTACTGGAAAAGAAGAGAGAGAACAGATCATTTCACAAGGACCAAGGGTCAATATAGCGGTACTCAGACATTTTAGGTGAAAATGCTTCCCCTCACATTAATAACTTAAGTAGTGACCCTGAATTACCTGAAAGAAGATGTGTATATATGTGCAGGCACTGGTTTCTCATGAACAAAAGCTTTTTAAAATTTAACTTTGCCAACAAGCGTTTTCTTGTTTTTCTAGAAATGAGGTGACCAGCTCTTTCAGAATATACAGCAACTGCCTCCACATAAAGCAGTGCCAGGTTTAGGAGATTTACGGTAAACCCATGTTTCCAAGGAGGTCTGTACAGAAAGCCAGACTTCTACTGGCAGTTTCTGGGAGAGATACGCTTTCCATCCATGGCGGCCGTTTACTTTTGATCTGGGAGACGTTTATAATAGAAAAGGCACAAGTGGAATATTTATTTGTTTCCCTCCGTTCCTCTATTGTTTGGTGGCGTTGCCGTTGCAAGTAGGCAGGGCTAAAATGAAATGGTTATCTCAGGATCATGGAAAACCTGGAATCAAGGCTGAAGAATGCCCTCTATTTTCGTTGTGAGAAGGGAAACGATTCCATCTCTATATGCCAGAAGTGTGAGACGTGTGTCTTAGCCTGGAAGATCTTCTCTACCAAAGAGTGGTTCCGCAGGATCAGTGACATATCTCAGAGGAGGTTTCTAGTTAGCATTCTGAAGCAGTTAAATAGCTTATATTTGTTACACTATTTCCAAAATATCCTTCAGACCACACAGGGAAAGGATTTCATCTATAACAGGTCCCGGATTGATCTCAGCAAGAAGCAGGGGAAAGTTGCTAAGTCCTCCGTGAACCAAATGTTGGATAAAACAGTAGAACAGAAGATGAAGGAGCTCTTGTACTGGTTTGGGAACAGCACGCACTGGACCAAGGCGAATTATACTCTCTTACTGCTGCAGATGTGCAATCCCAAATTGCTGCTCACTGCTGCCAACGTGATCAGAGTCCTGTTTCTGAGAGAACAGAACAATATCTCAGGTAAACAAGGCCACAGGCAAGACCAGAGAGCCCCCAAAGACCAGAAAGCCAGACTTCAGAAATCTGTAAGGCATTGCAGTTGTAGACAACCTAGGCAGACGGAGTGCACAGAATGCAGCATAGGTTCTTTGAATTGACACCTTCTCCTGACACCCGATCCTGTTTACCAAAAGAGAAATGACTGAATGTAAATGAAGGATTTTCAGTCCTTCTTGAAAATGATAAATACAGGAGGAAGTGCAGAACTTTTAACTGTCAAGCATTTATAATGGATTGCTGCATCTCATAGGCCCAGAAATGGCTGGTCCCTGCCTCTGACCCCTTAATGCTGGTGTCGTTCCTGCTTTAGGGATTGGACTGGGCCTGAGAGGATTGTAAAGGGGAAGCTGATAAATTATTTTGCTCTTCAGCTGCCCTGCACAAAAGCCAGGGCAAGAAGTCAAAACTCAGAGCTTTTGTTCCATTCACTCTACTATGTTCCTTGCTTATCCATGACATCAAACCTTGAAGTAGAGCTTCTCAAGGCTGGAGATAGCTTAAGGGCCAACTAAGCCTAGGGCAGTAGTTTTGCGACTGTGGCTTGTATCAGGATCTCCAGCAGGACCTGTTAAAACAAGCTTCTCCCCCAGAACTTCGGACTCAGCAGGTCTGAAGTGGGCCTGGGATTCTGTATTTCTAACTAACAAGTTTCCAGCTAGTGATGATGTTGCTGGTCTGGGGAGCTCTGTTTGAGAATCACAAGCCTAGGGTGTTAGAGAATCCCGGAAGTGTTTGGCCAGCTAGTTCAGGGAAGCAAAGGAAACCATAAGGTTGGTGTCCGTTTTGCTTTGCTACAAAGGAATACCTGAGGCTGAGTAATTTATAAGGAAATGTATAAGTAATTTATAAGGAAAAGTGCAGTTCTGCAGACTGTACCAGAAGCATGGCACCAGCATCTCTTTCTGGTGAGGGCTTCAGGAAGCTTCCACTCACGGTGGAATGCAAGGGGAATCATGTATCATGCGGTAAGAGAAGAAGCAAGAAGGGGGAAGGGTGCCAGGCTCTTTTAAACAGCAGTCTCTTTTAAATAGCCGGCTCTTGCTTGAACTATATTAATGGAGTGAGAACTCACTGTGGGAAGGGCACTAAGCCATTCATGAGGGCTCTGCCCCCATGGCCTCACCTCCAACATTGGGGGATCACATCTGAACATGAGATTTGGAGGGACAAATATCCACACTGTATTAGGAGGCAAGAGACTTGAACTTTGGAGGGGTCCAAGAGTGGAAGGTCCAGTGTGGGGAAGCTCGGATTTAGGCAGGAGTGGGACAAAGCTGGGAGGGGGTGGTCACATGGAGGAGTTTTGGAGTTTTAGCTCTTGAAGATGCGTAATTCCTGTCCCCAATGAGACCTGAGAGGCGGTCATATTTGTAGACTAATGGAATTCAAAAGAATTTGAAAGCTGGATGACCTAGGATGCAATTAGATCACAATGTATGTCACTTGATTTATTTGGTGTGTTAGGGGTATAAAAGAATGATAATATAGAATGAAGACACAGTGAATCCCAGGGTATCAAAAACAGTATAAGTTAGATTAGAGATCAACCAGTCCGATTCCTTAATTTTTACAGAAGGAGACCAAAGTCCAGGGCATCTGAATGCCTTTGCTTAGGTCACCCACCACATAGGATGTAAAGGAGGATCCCCTCCTGAGCCCCTTCCACTCTGGAGTGCTGCCAGCGGTGGAGGGCCTGGCTTGTAGGCACAGGTGCAGTGCTCCCCGGTGCTCTTTTAAGAGCTTCATCACGCACTAGGAATGGGCTATTTATACTGAAGTTTTATAAGACCTGTTACAGGTGTGGCAACCATCTCTTTTCTTAGAGCAGATTCTCTCTTAAAAAGTTAAGTGTTCTGGCCAGGTGCGGTGGCTTATGCCTGTAATCTCAGCACTTTGGGAGGCCAAGGCAGGCAGATCACCTGAGGTCAGGAGTTCAAGACCAGCTCGACCAACATGGTGAAACCCCATCTCTACTAAAGATACAAAAATAGGCTGGGCATGGCAGTATGCACCTGTAGTCCCAGCTACTTGGGAGGCTGAGGCAGGAGAGTCACTTGCACCAGGGAGGCAGAGGTTGCAGTGAGCCAAGATTGCACCATTGCACTCCAGCTTGGGCAATAAGAGCAAAACTTCGTCTCAAAAAAAAAAAAAAAAAAAAAAGTTAAATGTTCTCATTTGACTTGAGGGTGGTTATTTCTATCATTGAAGAAAATTCAGCATGAGCTTCCAAAGAGCATTCCCTGTTGCAGTTCCTAACCTCGACTCACTCACTCTCTCTTCTCTCTCTCTCTTCTTGTAGATACAGCTCGATAAATTTTACATTGGAGGTGGACTGAAAAGCTAACAGGAAGCTTTCTGAGATTTTTGCATAGAAGTTTGGAGGCCCCAAATAAAAATAGACAGTAACAGCCTTGGTCCGTACAATGCATTTTTAAAAGAAGGAAGAAAAAATGTAACCTTTTCTCTCCACCTCATTTTCCTTAACACACCTGCTTCAAGAGCAAACTTGCCTTGGTGTTTTGTTTTCCAGGGCTCAATCAAGACATCACAGATGTGTGTTTTTCCCCCGAGAAAGACCACAGCTCCAAGTCTGCGAACTCACAAGTCTATTGGACAGCCAAAACTCAGCACACGTCCTTTCCTTCGTCCAAAGCCCTAGAAAATGAACACTTGCTTGGGGCAGCATCTAACCCGGGTAAGTCCATTTTTAGCAAGAAAGACAATATGAAACCATTATGAGAATGGGAAGTCCCAGTGGAACTGAAGGGGCTGGCAGGATGATAGCATCTGGGGCTGGCAGATTTGAGGAACTCACATTCATTTAGCACCTACAATGTGTTGGGCTCTTTACTTCCCTATCTAATTCTCACAGCTGATAGCGGGAGGGGCAAGGATTAAAACTGATCAGTATGGCCCCAAACGGGTATTTTCACCTTTCCACTGCAGTGCCTGCAAGAGACATCTGACAATAGAGATCAGAAAGGAAAGTATCAGTGGTTTACTTTGGAGTCTTTCTCTGCTCCAGGCCACAATCCATCATCTAGCCTCTGGGCTCAGGCGTGGTGGGCAGTTCTAAAACTAAACCCATCAGTGGCTATTTTTGCAGTATTGGATTCAATCTTGAGGAGGGAAAAAATTAATGGGGAATTTGGTTCCCAGTCTCATGGTACTCCTAAGTTGGGTTTTGCAGCAACACGTATACATAAAATATCATAGGAGACACAATATTATAGGAAATACAAGGCATAGATTCTAAAACACTCTTTATATGGAAAAATTCAAATTTCCTAAGTATGTAGAACAATATAATAACTACCCACATAGCACTGGTTTCAACAGTTGTCAACATTTTACCAATTTTATTCCATTCCATTCATCCCCACTTTCTCTCTCTCTCTCTCTCTTTCTCTCTCTCTCTCTCTCCCCCTCCCCCTTTCTTTCTTTTTTTTTGAGATGGAGTTTCACTCTTGTTGCCCAGGCTGGAGTGCAATGGTACAACCTCGGCTCACTGCAACCTCCGCCTCCCGGGTTCAAGTGATTCCTCTGCCTCAGCCTCCTGAGTAGCTGGGATTACAGGCATGCGCCACCACACCTGACTAATTTTATNAGTAGAGACAGGGTTTCTCTATGTTGGTCAGGTTGATCTCAAACTCCTGACCTCAGGTGATCCTCCTGCCTTGGCCTCCCAAAGTGCTGGGACTACAGGCGTGAGCCACGAGGCCCAGCCTCCTCCTTTCTCAAACTGATTTAAGTTTTTTCTTGTTGGAGTATTTTTAAGAAAATTCCAGACGTGATGTCATTTCAGACTCTGATACTATAGACTTCTCTTTGTGCTGAAAAGTACACGTATATTTGGATCAAAAGGTTCTATTCTCATGTGGCAGAAGAGATCACAAAAATCTAGTGGCCTATGGGTAGACTCTGAGGAGGTTTATTTTGTGGGAGAGCTTTTGGTGAGGACTTGTTCTTGGCCTGGAGTTTCTACAGAGCCAACTCAACCACGTACCTTTCTCTGGCTTCCCTCTAGAGGGACCGTGGAGGCGTTCACTTCAGTGTATTTCCGAGATGAATTGGCTGTTTCCTGAAAAAGGACACTTAACCAAGCCAGGGTTCGATCCCTGCAATCTGTTGGTTGACCTGGATGATATCAGAGACCTGTCTTCTGGGTTCAGCAAATACCGAGACTTTATCCGTTACCTGCCCATCCACCTCTCCAAGTACATTCTAAGTATGCTGGGCCGTATGAGGGGATTTCTCAGACACCTCCCATCTTGGCCCAGTTCTGGGGTTTCTGGATTCGTCTTTTTTCTTTTTTCCAGGAATGCTGGATAGACACACCCTGAACAAATGTGCCTCTGTGAGCCAGCACTGGGCCGCACTGGCTCAACAGGTCAAGGTGGAATTGTCAGCGCACGGCTTCATTCAGAGCCAGATTGCCTTCTTGCAGGTACTTCCTGCAAGTCTGAGAGGGGACTATCTGAGACCAGCTTCATTTTTGTGTTGAGATTGACTGTGAACCTTTCAGTGAACCCTTAGCTGCCTCCTGCTCTACATTTGTGGCCTTTTAGGCTTCATGGGTCCCTTCCTTTTGGTCCAGATGCCTGTCGATAACTGAGTACTCTCATTGTCAGTGCATCTCACAAGGACAGCAGGAATAGAGACCGCTCAGGAGCAGAGAGGCAGAGCCTTTCCAAAACCTCACGAAGCAGAGAACCCCAGCCCCCAGGGAGTTATATCTCAGCTTACGCAGCAAGAAAGCCATAATTATGTTTCTGCATCAGCCTCATATGGAACACAGATGTTTATAAGGCCGCAAAGTATTTCTTTAGTTAAAATGTAATTTTCCCAAATAGCAATCCACTCCAGCATTTTTACTTCTCAGTTTCTTGCCAGAAGCCTCACCCTAAACCATGGATTTTGGTATCTTAGATTTTTTTTTTTTCCCAGCAGAGAGAGACGACAGAGGACGAGAAACAGCAGATATGGTGAGGCCGGCGACAGTCTGACCACCTTTGCTGGTCTCCCTGTGGCATTGGTTGCTTATTCTCTCCTCCGGTCGGTCTACACACGGTGTGGGGGGGACCAGCCAGAACTGGGCCTGCCTGCCACAGCCAGGGCTTACCTATCCTTCAGATTTTGCCAAGAACTACTTTTCCCTTCCTCCTGCAGAATCGGAACTAACAGTAGCCATTTTCTGTTTTTATTTTATTTATTTATTTATTGTCATTTTCCAGGGGTCCTGCACAAGAGGAATTGATCCTAATTACGCCAGTAAAGTTTCTATCCCAGTTCCTAAAATGGTAGATGACGGGAAGCGCGTGCGTATGAAACCTCAGAAGTGGAAGCTGAGAACGAAGGTGGGTTCCAACGACATCTGGGGCAAGTAGCTGTGAGTGTGTCATTCAAATTGGCCATTGAAGGCTGAGGTCCAGACTCAGCCCTGGAGTAAGGACAGAGGATCACGGCAGATAACACTCCTTAAGGAAGACCAAAGCTCTGTGTTGCTACTGACTTGCAAGTCCCTTCCTCTTGTTAAGCCTTGCTTTCCTCATCTGTTGGATGGGTAGATTGATTTGATTGTCCTCCCAGGGTTCTTCCTTACTTTAAAGCCCATGGCCATGTTCTGCGTCCATGGCACCAAGTCATTTAATGGCAAGTTCAGAGGCCAGGAGCAACCCCATCAGCTTCCCGTGTCTCTGGAGGCTCCAGCATCTGCTGCTCGGGAATTCGAGGAGGACCTGAGGGGAGGGCCAGGGCTGGTTCCAAATGCCTAGGGCCTAGATGACTTTGGCTCCCTCATCCCTCACATTCTGGCTCTAGGTTGGAAGGGGACAGTTAATTAAATGCAGCCCTCTCCACTAGTTCTTAGGCAATAATGAAGAGTGAACAGAAGACCCTTCGAGCTCTATGCTTTGCCTATTAAGGCATGGTTGGTATTCCTAAAACCATTAGATTTCTGCCCCTTTTCTCTGCTTAAAGTCTATTTTGAAGTCTATTCAGTTGGCCCAAAAAGGTTAGTTCATGAGGGATGGTTTGACTGTCACTTTCCATAAGGAAGCTGTGTTAAATTAGAATTTGAGAAACAGAAGCATCCAGAGAGAGCATCTAGTTCATATGACCTGTAGGGGCCAGGCTGGTGACACAAAGGAGGAGGCGGGTGGTGTGGGCAGCAGAGGATGGTGTGGCTGTGATGGAATGCATTGACAAGAGCAGGAGAACTGTCATCTCGGGCAAACACCACCACTCGAAGTTCCAGGTCCCTTGCTAACCTCATGCATTTCAAGGAAATCACCTCTTTTCTAACTACAAGCAGCCAGAAAGAGCAGACAGTAAAATACAGATAAGACAGCTTGTGCACAGAGGGAGGTGGGGGGAAAGTCTCTTGGGTAACTGCCAAACTCCAGCCTCATACACTGGGCCCCAGTAAAAGAGTGGGCCTTAATAAGCACATTCCTTTCTCTTCAGGTGCACTAAGATAGGGAAGCTGAAAGCAGACTTGGGGGTATGCCTGCAGCTGCAGAAAGATGTATGGGGACAGACACACAACTCCCTCTCCCAGATACGCACAGCAAAGAGACACAGAAACAGTCCAAGCCTGTGATAAACTCTCCCACTCTGAGTCCTTAAAAACTCCTAGTCTGTAAGAGAGTGCAGCTTCTGAACTAATGGGGTTAGAAGTCCCTCCCAGGTTTGAAATAAACCTGTAGATTGTCGAGCCACCCTTTGTATTTCTCTTCTCTTTAATTCTTACATGTATAATTTAAGAAAAGGGACCAGGTGTGGTGACTCACACCTGAGGTCAGGAGTTCAAGACCAGCCTGGCCAACATGGCAAAACGCTGTCTCTGCTAAAAAAAACTAGAAAATTAGTCAGGTGTGGCTGTGGATGCCTGTAATCCCAGCTACTCAGGGGGCTGAGGAAAGAGAATTGCTTGAACTGGGGAGATGGAGGTTGCAGTGAGCTGAGATTACACCACTGCACTCCAGCTTTGGCAACAGAGCGAGACTCTGTCTCAAATTTTTTAAAAAATGGAGAGAGAGAGAAAGGGGAGAGAAACAGGTGATGCAGTATGGAGAACACATGAAATAGCAAGACTAGGCAGTTATGGAGTCTCCTAGGAAAAGGTGGAACTGAGTGCTTCTCAGGGTGGTGTGTAATAGCATGAGTGTAAACTGTATACCAGGCACAATGCCCGTAGCTCTGCATACAACATTTACTTGATTTCACCAGAGATCAAGGAGATGTCATTGCTCCTAGTTTATGGATGGGGAAATGAAGGATGTGGTATGAGAAAGTGTGCTCAAGGTCTCACAGCTGAGCAGTGGCAGAGCTAGAATTTAAATTCAGGTCTTTTCCCTCCCAATGACTCCACCATATGGTTTCTGGGGCTCACAAAACTTAGGAGATGAGCAAGGACCAAGGAATTTCCACCTGGGTTGGGAGAATCCAGGGCAGCCTCATTTAATTCAGGCTGGGATATGGAAAGCTACCTGGACGCTAGAGGGGAGGCAGGTTGGCAGATTCTTCTGGGCGGAGACTTTTTTTGGTGGGCATTGATACATGGTTGAAGATTAAGAAGGAGAGCGAGCAGAGGAAAGAGGGCATCTGAGGAAGAGTCTAAAGATATGGAGAAGAAGACTAAGGTTTGGAAGGAGACTTCGGAGATGTCCCCAGGAGGACTTTCACGTGCAAACATGACGCTATGTTCTTCTTTGCCTTCAAGATAAATATATGCTGCTTTTTTTTCCTGCTAGTTTAGTGGGACTATTATTCCCTGCTATTTGAGGATAGAGTATGATAGGGAAGATAAATGGAACCGAGAGTCTAGTTCAGTCATCTATGCCAAAATTTAGCATGTCTGGCATGCCATACCTGCTCAGAAGGTGTGTGATAGAGGAAGCAAGGGAGAGAGCAAAGGAGGGAGGAAGAAGGAAGGCAGGCAGGCAGGTAGGAAGGAAATAAAGATTGGGAAGCAAATGAAAGCGCCCAGGTCAAGACTTGATACTATTGATTTCCTCTCCCTGAGTCCCAGATACCTTCTCTGCAAAATAATGGGAACATTTTGTGGGATAAGTGATCTACCTTGTAAGGCAGCTGCAAGAACAAATGAAGGTTGCAGATGTATGAAAACTTTGAAATGCAAATACAGGCTGGGTGCAGTGGCTCATGCCTGTAATCCCAGCACTTTGGGAGGCCAAGGCGGGAAGATCACTTGAGGTCAGGAGTTCAAGACCAGCTTGGCCAATGTGGTGAAATCGCATCTCTACTAAAAATACAAAAATTAGCCAGGCTTGATGACGTGTGTCTGTAATCCCAGCTACTTGGGAGTCTGAGGCAGGAGAATTGCTTGAACTTGGGAGGCGGAGGTTGCCGGGAGCCGAGATTGCGGCATTGCATTCCAGACTGGGTGACAAGAGCGAAACTCCGTCTTAAAAAAAAAATGCAAATGCATAGCATGTGTAGCAGTAATTTCACATATGGCTTAAACTCCCTTGGGTGTGCTTTGTACTATCAGCTAGGCGTAACATACATATGACCTTCTGACTTCTGTAAAATGGTCAGTCAAAAGGCACCTGTGACATTATGTTGTGAGGATACCCCTTGTGAGCTCATTTTTGAAAAAGTTGAGTTATTGGTAACATTTGGAATTCAGCGTTGAAAGTTCATGGAATCAGGGAACATGGTAAACACAAAGAGGTAAAAGAAGAATTAGGACCCTTAACCCAACACTTTCTAACTCATGATTTCCTTTGGTGCTTGCTCACTGGCCAGTCCCTTCTCTGCAGAGCAGCAACCTCAGCCTTCAGAGGAAGAATCCGTGAGCCCTGTGCCCTTGCCAGGGAGACCCTAGGGGCTCTAGGATTGTGGGTATTTACAGTTGCCTCTGAGCTTTAACTTCAAGTATTCCCTTGTTAGAATGACTACAACCTGTGGACTGCATACCAGAACCAGGAAACGCAGCAGGTCCTGATGGAGGAGAGAAATGTTTTCTGTGGGACCTACAATGTCCGCATTCTCTCTGACACGTAGGTACTGGGGTCAGAATCTAGGTCTCTAGGGACGCTTGAGCCAGCTGCCCTGGCACTTGGGATTTCCCTGATCCTTGTGTACGTGGAAAGGCAGGCTCTCCTCACCTCAAGCTCTAGCCCCAAACTTGCACACGATCCCACGTAGACAATAGGTGCTTCATTTTGCACAGTTGTTGGCAGTGGGTACAGGACGCTTTCCCTTGATAACTTTTGGGCATGCTAACCAACAACCTTTTGCACAAGTCGCACAAAAAATCTTTATTTTTTGAAATACCTTTGTTTTGTTATATTAATTTTAGAAATAACATATGCTTATTGAAAACAAAATCTTTCAAATGCTAGAAAGTGTATAGAGAAAGGCAAAGTTTTGCCTTTTTATAATCACCTGGTGATAACCACCATTAATATTGGCGTCTATCCTTCTAGAATTATTTTATTTGCATACGTATAGCACATATTTTAAGTAGAAGTGGGGTTACATTACACATTTTTTTTTGAGATAGAGTCTTGCTCTGTCACCTAGGCTAGAGTGCAGTGGCGTGATCTCGGCTCACTGCATCCTCCACCTCCCAGGTTCAAGCAATCCTCCTGCCTCAGCAATTTTTTTGTATTTTTAGTAGAGACAGGGTTTTGCTATGTTGGCCAGGCTGGTCTTGAACTCCTGACCTCATGATCCACCTACCTTGGCCTCCCAAAGTGCTAGGATTACAGGTGTGAGCCACTGCACCTGGCCTAATACATATGTTTCTGTAACCCAGTCCAGCAAGGTACTATATATAGATAGATATCTTCCCATGGTAAATATGACAATCATATTTATAACAATTGGATACTCTCACATTATTGCAATATGCTGAGAGAAGAAGGTTCTTTAAAAATCAGCTTTCTGTCATATTTTAGGCCTAGGATCCCTTACTTTATATTCACAAGGTTTTGCGAAATCCACCTCTACTTTATTTTTGGCCATGAATCTTATTAACAAATTGCATCTTGACAATAGAACAGTCAGTATGGGGAAGACAGAGCAAATAAGATAGGGGAAAGGCAAAGCTGAGTTTTTTTGGATAGTATGGTGATAACTGCTCTTTAGAAGAGATGGTGACTAGTTGAACTCTAGGTATGACAAATGGAATGAGGGCAAAAATATCAAGAATTGCTCCTTATATGTATGTGTGTACATATATAAAGATATATGCACACATACACATATGTACATGTATATACATAAAAATATATGTATATATACATATATATATATATTTTTTTTAAAGAACAGTTATCACCATACTATCTGTATTTCTTTTTTCAGATTGAACCTCATTCTGTTGTCCAGGCTGGGGTGCAGTGGTGCAATCTTGGCTCATTGTAACCTCCACCTCCTGGGCTCAAGAGATCCTCCTGACTCAGCCTCCCAAGTAGCTGGGACTATGGGCACATGCCACTGTGCCTGGCTAATTTCAGAATTTTTTTGCAGAGATGGGGTTTTGCTCTCCTGGCCAGGCTGGTCTCCAAGCTCCTCGTATTTAGAGTGACGATATAACCCTGTTTATTGGAACAATCCCTCTCTACTCTGCAGTCCTGGTGTCATTAATAATAGTGTCCCCAGGTTGGATGCGGTGGCTCATGCTTGTACTCCTAGAACTTTGGGAGGGAGGCTTAGGTAGGAGGATCGCTTGAAGCCAAGAATTGGAAGTTGCAGGTAATGCAGAGCAAGACCAAAAACAAAAGGAAGGGCGCAGTGGCTCACTTGCAGAGCAAAACCAAAAATAAACAAATACTGTCCCCTTCCCTTTTTTTTTTTTTTTTGAGACGGAGTTTCGCTCTTGTTACCCAGGCTGGAGTGCAATGGCGCGATCTCGGCTCACCGCAACCTCCGCCTCCTGGGTTCAGGCAATTCTCCTGCCTCAGCCTCCTGAGTCGCTGGGATTACAGGCACGTGCCACCATGCCCAGCTGATTTTTTGTAGTTTTAGTAGAGACGGGGTTTCACCGTGTTGACCAGGATGGTCTCGATCTCTTGACCTCGTGATCCACCCGCCTCGGCCTCCCAAAGTGCTGGGATTACAGGCGCGAGCCACCGCGCCCGGCCCCCCTTTTTTTTCTTTTGAGATGAAGTTTCACTCTTATTTCTCAGGCTGGAGTGCAATCGGGCAATCTCAGCTCACTGCAACCTCCACCTCCCGGGTTTAAGCAATTCTCCTGCCTCAGCCTCCTGAGTAGCTGGGATTACAGGCATAGACCACCATACCCAGCTAATTTTGTCTTTTTAGTAGAGACAGAATTTCTCCATGTTGGTCAGGCTGGGCCCAAATTCCGGATCTCAGGTGATCTCTCCACCTTGGCCTCCCAAAGTGCTGGGATTACAGGCGTGAGCCACTGCCCCCAGACAATAGTGTCCCCTTTACAGTAAAAAAGTCTCAGGTTGGACAATACATTATTTGGTCAACCTGTTCCTATTTTACCTGTTTACTAATAATCCTATCATTGGAAAATTAATTCAACTCGCCTAGTTTTATGGGACAATAAGCTCATTTTAAGTAATGTCCTTATCTGATAATTCTTGGTATTTCCTGTGGTATCTACTAGCACAGGACTTTGAACCTAATATATGCTCACTGAATATTAAGGGGAAAAAAAAAGAAAAGAAATACAGTTTGCACAGGGCTTCCCAACTGTGTTCCTCTGATGTTTTCCAAGAAAAAAGGTGATCAATTACATTTGGGCAATGCCACAGACTCCATTCTTTCTCTTGGGGATTTAGCATACATTTACAGAATTTAAAAAAATCGCCTTGTGTCTTTAGGTTTTAAATTGAACAGAAATGGATTGTTGTCGTCATATGAGAGTGGGGATCCCTCAGGGCCTGTTAAATCTCAGCCTGGCCTTCTGCTGCCTCCCTTGCTGAAAGACCCTGAATTTTCCTTTATACCATTGCTGCAGGCAAAAGTCATGGGGCTAAGTCAGTCCCAGGATGGACACTGACTCTTCTTTCATGGATAATCCTTTTCCCCTGGCACTCAGGTGGGATCAAAACAGAGTCATCCACTATTCCGGGGGAGATCTGATAGCTGTGTCATCTAATCGAAAGATCCGTCTTCTGGACATCATACAAGGAAAAGCGATACCCGTTGAGTTCCGAGGCCATGCTGGGAGTGTCCGAGCCCTCTTCCTGTGTGAAGAGGAAAACTTTCTCCTAAGCGGGAGCTATGACCTAAGTATCAGGTGAGGAGTCCAAAGGCATCATGATTCCCATCCCACCTAGGGCCTAGAAGGCCCACAGCTCATTATCTTTTTATATTTAAGTTATCCTAGAAGATACTGACTTCTAGAATACCTTCAGCTTTTTTTTTTTTTTTTTGGCAAGGAAAAAGTCAGGAACATATATATTGCTTAAAATTTGAATAAGACTTATAACAATTATCAGATGCATTTCTAACTGATGACTGTGAATCAGAAAAGTTTTCTTTATTAGCATTCTTAGATGAAGGAATAACTTACATTTGTTCTTACAGATTCTTTCAGGGGAACATGGCTTCTTATGAGTATGAGACAGGGTATAGATGCAAAATAATGTTTTCAAAATGCATATATATGTATATTTTTAAACAGTATAAAAAACACTCATGCATCTATCACTCAGGCTAGGAAATATCACCATTCCCCAATCCTCCCAACGTGCCCTTCTCTTCTTGCTTCTTCCTGCCAACCAGAGTTAATGTTATCCTAATTTTATACTAATTATTCTCTTGCATTTCATTATCATTTTTTGCTTCCTTCTTATATATCTCCTAGAGTTTTAATTACTTTTGCCTGTTTTTGAACTCAACATAAAACGAATCATATTTTAAAAATGTGTCAGTACTTCATTCTTACATAGAACTATGTTTTTGAGATTCACCTGTATGATGTAGATGGCAGTAATTAACTTATTTTGACTGAGATACAGTATTAAATTGGATAAATGTATTATCACTCATTTATTTATTTTTCTGTTGGTGGGCATTTGCATTGTTTCTAGTTTTTAATTATTTCAAAGAATGCTGCCAGAGACGGGTTTCAGATATGTTCCCTCATGCCCATGTGCAGGAGGTTTTTAAAGGGATAGTCTTAGTACGGGAATTCCTTTTTTTTCTTTTCATTGAGACAGAGTTTCGCTCTTGTTGCCTAGGCTGAAGTGCAACGATGTGATCTCGGCCCACTGCAACCTCCGCCTCCCAGGTTCAAGTGATTCTCCTGACTCAGCCTCCTGAGTAGCTGGGATTACATGCATGCGCCACCAGGCCTGGCTAATTTTGTATTTTTAGTAGAGACAGGGTTTCTCCATGTTGGTCAGGCTGATTTCGAACTCCCAACTTCAGGTGATCTGCCTGCCTCAGCCTCCCAAAGTGCTGGGATTACAGGGATGTGCCACTGCACCCGGCTGTATGGGAATTTCTAGGAAGGAGTATTAAACTGTTTTCCAATGTGGTTGTATTAATTTACATTCCCATTGGCAGTGTATGAGAATATCTCTTCTTATATATTCTCACCAACACTTAATATTGTCAGTCTAACAGTTTTGTCAATCTGATGGGTGTTAAATCAAACCCACTGTGTTTTATTGGGGTTTAAATTTTAACTTTCCTGATTACTAATGAAGTTGAACACCTTTTCACATATGTATTAGTCAGGGTCTCCAGAGAAACAGAACCAACAGAATGTGTATATACATAGGAGATTTATTATAAAGTATTGACTTGTGTGATCAAGGAGGCTGGCAAGTCCAAAATCTGCAGCATGGGCTGTCAGGCTGGAGACCCAGGAGGGCCAGCAGTGTAGACGCTGGCTTAACATGTCCAAAGGCCATCTGCCGGAGAATTCCCTCTTGCCAGGACTATCTATTAACTTTGTTCATGGTGTTTACCTGAATTTTGTTGAACAAAAATTCTCAGTATAAGTGTAATAAAGCATTAGTTTATCAGGGTTTTCTCCCCCCTCATTTCTGTGATTCTTCCCTCTTCAAAGTCATGGAGATAGTTTCTGACATTTTCTTCTATCAACATTACAGTTTTATCTTTTGCATTCAGTTTTTTAATCTATTTCCAATTCAACCTTGTATGTGGTGTTAGGTAGGGTTTCCATTTCGTTTATTTATGCTTAAATAAAATGAGCAGTTTCTCCCCCACAGCAACTACCATATAATCTGCCACTTCCTCCACTGATCTGTGGTGCCATCTTTATCACATGGAAATTTCCCATATGTGCATGAGAATGTCCCTGAGCTTTCTGGTCTAGTTCATTGTCTGTTTTCTGTTTTTAATCAAAATCCCCCTCCTTGAAAAGTTTTTTTTTTTTTTTTTTAGCTATGCATTTGGAGAATGTTTTAAAATGTGATGGGGAGGGAAATTCTCCTTTTCACTTTTCTTTTCTAATGTAACAGCTATGGTATATACATTTTGAGTTTTTGGAGTAAGTTTATCAACTTTCAATAAAACCTAACTAGACTTTTTATTGGGGTTGCATTGAATTTATAGATTAGTTTGGTAAACACACTCAATTAGATCATCTTTGTTCTTTCTTAGAGACTTAAAGTTTTCTTAAGTCTTGTGTATTTTTACGTAATGCCTGTAAACGTTATAATTTTATTACTATTGTGAATGGTATCTTACTTTGCTTATATTTTCAAATTAGTTTTTGCTGGCATAGAGAAAGGCAGTTGATTTTTGTAAATTGGTCTTGTGTCTGGCATCCTTGCCAAACTCTCTTATTAGTTCTAAGAGCATATATGTTGAATTGGTTTTTCTATACAGGTGATCTCTTCAACTGCAAATAATGACAATATATTATCTTCTTTTCTAATGCCTATAACCACTTTTTGTTTTTCTTTCCTTCTAACTTTGCCTAAGCCTTCCAGTGCCGGCAGGCTGTAGCAGTGAGAGTGGGCATCTTCCTCTTCTTTCCCTTCTGGAAGGGAATACATCTACAGTTTCTCCACTGAGCATATTACTTACTGTTAGGACTTTGGCTTATACCTTTCACTACGTCTGGAAAGTTCCTTGTATCCCTATTTTTCTAAAAGTATTTATCAAATACGTTTTTTTGTATAAATTTAAAAAACCAACCTGAAGACATATACCACCATATTGCTAGAAACAGAAATTCAAAACATGCTTTTTTTTCAGAGCACAGGGGCATCATTCAATGCACTGTGGCTGTATTGTAGGCTCTGAGAAGCTGGTGAGGCATTGGTAAGGCTACAAGACCCTTGGGAATATTAGAAAAAAAAAAAAGCTTAACATATCCAAAAAAAACCCCAAAGACATATTTATTAATCATTTTTATGTGCCAAGCCACACAATAATTCTATGAAGTAAGTATAATTATTATCCCCAGTTTACAGATGAAGAAACTGAGGTACGTGGTGGTTCAGTAACTTGCCTAGGATCACACATTCAGAAAGTGATGGGCCTGGGAATGGACTTCAGGCAGCCTGCCCCAGAGCCTACTGTCTCAGCATTCTGCTTTGTCCTGTCTCAAAAGCAGCCTAGCTGAATCGGAAGTATCAATGGTATTGAGAGACCTTGGGCAAGTTTTCTTATTAAAAAACAGGATAATTTTTCTTTGCTTCCATCTATCTCTTAGATATGCTTTATATGTACATAAGTATTTTGGATCTAAGTGATTGGTAAAGGATTCTGTTGCTCTTATTTGAAGATTAGCCGTACCATTGAATCGGTGCCATGGATTCTAAGCCTGGTGGTCATTCGACACGCTTTTACCTGAAAACCACCTGACATTGATCAACCATTTTGAACATGTTAGTCACCATTCCATCGTTACCTCCACTAGGGCAGGGTTTCTTAACCTTGGCATTATTGCCATCTGGGGCTGGGAATTTCTTTACTGTGGGGCCTGCCCTATGCAATGTAGGAAGTTTAGCAGCATCCCTGGATTCTATGCACTAGATGCCAGTGGGACCTCCTTCTCTGCTTGTGACCAAAAATATCTACAGACATTTCCAAATGGTCCCTGGAGGTAGAAGTTACCTATGATTGACAATCACTGTATTCGTCCATTTAATTCTTCACAACAACCCTATGATGTGACTACTCTTATTATTATTTCCATTTTATCAATGAGGAAAGGAAACTTACACAGAAATTAACTTCCTCAAGGTTACACCAAATAGGTGCTGCAGCTGGGATTCAAATCCAGGCTCCTGACCCTAAGCTGAACCATGAGACTGCTGCCTCCCAACTGCCTACTTATCTACAGGGGTTCTACGCAATATGATCCTCTGGGCCCTCAGGAACTCTCACAAACGTTCTTTTGGCCTGATTCCTGCAGATACTGGGATCTGAGAAGTGGGGCTTGCACACGAATCTTCAATGGTCACCAGGGGACTATCACTTGCATGGATTTATGTAAGAACAGGCTTGTATCTGGAGCAAGAGATTGCCAGGTAAAAGGTGAGAAAGAAGTGCATTAAACTTTCTAAGAAGTTTCCCCCAACCCCAAATGCTTTGTATTGCTCATTTCTATAGGCAGTAATTTATTCTTTATCATCCATCCATCCATCCATCCATCCTTTTTTCCTTCCACCTATCTGTTAATCCATCCCTTCAACAACTATTTGTAGAATGCCTACAATAAGCTACACACTGAGCTAGGTGCTGAGGAGAAATAAAGAATAGGATATGGCCCTTTAGATCAACTTTTTATTTCTTCAAAGGGCTCATAGTCTGCTAATGGAAGCAGACACATAAATGTATAGTGGGGAATATAATAATACATGAACAACAAAAGCTGCCACTTACTGAGTACCAGTATGTGACAGATGCTTAACATGTGTCATTTAATCCTCATGAGAGCCCCATTGGTAATTTTATAAGTGAGCCAAGATATATACATAAAATATAAGTGAAAGAAAGCATACATACTTACATAGCTAGGGTTAACCTAGCATAATGGTTAAGCACATGGCCTCTGGATCCAGACTCCCTAGGTTCAAATCCCGGCTCTGCCACTCACCACCTGCATGACTCAAGCAGGCAATCTAACTTCTCTATGCCTCAGTTTCCTCATCTGTGGAGTGGAGAATAGTAATAGTACTTGTCTTGTGAAGATGAGCTAATACATGTCATGCACCTCGAGTGGTCGCTGGCTTACTGTTAGTGCTATGTGTCAACTCTAGTTGTTATGATATTTTGTCTCAGGCCACTTGTTCTGTTGCCTGAGGAAGAAGGTGCTTTAGGGGAGCACCTTTGAAGGAGACGTCAATGTTTTCATTCCTGAATTCGTAGAGCTCACTTTCGACTTCTTCCTTTTAGCCCTGTTCTCCCACCCACCTACCCACTCTTTTCCCCGCTCAGCACCTAGAAGATACCAGGCAGTTGTTTTAACACAGTCTGTGTTGAAGCAGCAGTAGGCCCACCCCTAGCCATGACCATTTCTCCATAAAGCCCAAAAGTCAGATTCAGAAGTATTTAAAAATGTGAGAGCAGATGACTTTCTTTTCTTTTGGGGACAGAAGGTGTGAGTCAGGAAGACAGCATCTGGAAAACATGACAACACTAAACATATGCCATTTTCTTTTTTTTTTTTAAATGACTTTACCTGCTCCTACTCAAACTGTATGCCATGATTTTATGAAACCTACTCGATAGCAAGCATGTTTCAGGCTTGAGGCATCAGCTGATTGGAGATGAGCTTTCTAGCACTTGGGTCTCAAGGCTAAGTTCCAGGGCCATAGCCAAGGTCTTCTGTACTGTGGGCTCCCCAACCACCTGTAGTCAGGGTGCTCTGTGCTGTGGGTACATGAGCTGTTGGTGAGCATGCCCTGTGGAAGTGCTAGGCCAGGGGAAGGCCTTTTAGCGTCTGACTTGATGGGCTCGGTGAGTCTTCGGTTCTGTGATGGGAAGCAGTACTCCACTGTAACCTTTCCTTTTCTTGCTTTTCTCCCTTTTCCCCCATCCCATTTCTTCCTCTTTCTCCTTACTGTTCAGTATGGGATGTAGACACAGGGAAGTGCCTGAAGACGTTTAGACACAAAGACCCCATCTTGGCAGCCAGGATCAATGACACCTACATTGTGAGCGCGTGTGAGCGAGGGGTGGTAAAAGTGTGGCACATTGCCATGAGCCAGTTGGTAAAGGTGAGGAGGCAGTGGGCTGCCTTGGGGGAAAGGGCACAGGGAGGAGATGGGTGGGCTCCCCCTACCTAGCTCCCCAGGTCATCCTAGAGCAACTGAGTACAGACATTAAGAAGGACAGTCCTGAAGCTCTAAAGGGAAAGGCCCCAAAGTGCAGCATTCAGAGTCCGTGGAGGGTATGGGCTCCACCACCCACACCATAACCCACAGTATCATGAGGTTGGTGGAGGAAGGCCGCATTCTAACTCAGCGTGAGACATGGGCCCAGGGCCTTCTAACAGCAGTGCAGGTGAAGTGCTTTTTCCTCCTCAAGAGTATTGCAGTCTGATTCTGGCGTGGGGTGAGGGGATGAACAAAACATTTATTTTTTTTCCCTAAGAAGAAAACACTGGGGGATGAACAGAGAATTTTTATTCTCCTTGCTCTCTAATGACGAGAGAACATTGATGGTCTTGAAAGTGACTGGATGGTCACAAAACATATTCTTGCCGGATCTGAACCTCTGGCCTTAGTGGGTGGTGTTGATAGATGTTTTGTGCCAGGAACACAGGATCACAGTGAAAAGTGGCTGGCTTGGCCTGTGGAATTTTCCCACCCATCTTGTCACTATGGCCAATCCAGCAATTGCCAGCACAGAGATGGCTCATGTGCACTCTGGGTTCTGGTAAGGAGCTGGGATGGCACACCTTACCTTCATTCTTCTGACAGCAAAGGACAGTGATTTCTGACCCTCTCTGGTGCTCCAAGAAGGTAGTGTCTGCCCCAAACTCAGACCCACCAGGAGCAAGGCCCCTCCCTGATCCTATTCCTCCTTAACCAGAGAGAGAGAGAGAGAGCTCTAAAGAGAGGAAGGCATGGAATAGACTCCATTGGCCTTCTTAGAGCAAAAGCAAGATTAGCTCAGGTACCTACTGGGTGAATGGCAGTCACGGACTGGTGGGGTGTGGCTTTGGGATTTTTCTGAAGAAGCCTCAGCTTTGGTTCTTGGAGGAGTCACAGTCTGAGTTGAAGACAGTGGCATCTTTTCTTGCAGACTCTCAGTGGCCATGAGGGAGCTGTGAAGTGCCTGTTCTTCGACCAGTGGCATCTCCTCTCGGGAAGTGCTGATGGCCTGGTCATGGCCTGGAGCATGGTGGGGAAGTACGAGCGCTGCCTGATGGCCTTCAAGCATCCCAGGTAGGTGCCTGTGAAGCCCGGAGCAATAAACCTGGTGTCCTTCCCTTCCCCGTCACAGCCTAGATTGCAATTATTGGCAGACCTTCTGCTCCCTGAGGACGTCGTGTTCTCTGTACCTCACCCCCTCTGCTTCCCCCCTCTTCCACCTGGGACCCATTTTCCCCCACCGTCTTCTCTGTCTGGCTAGTAACCTCTTCCACGCTATCGCATTTCTCTTGAGCAGTAACTATAGGAGCTGGGGCTTTTGAGAAGTAATTGAAACTGTATAATTACGACATGATAAATTCATGATGAATTCATACCAGATACCTATCAGACATATGAATACTGGCAGAACCATCCCAAATAATGCCAATTCTAGTGAACTTAAAATTCTAGGAATTGGTCTTTATCTCAGGATGCTTGTGCTCACAAAAGCTTAAAAATGATCCAAAGACTTAAAAAGAGCTGAGAGCTTAAAAAGAGGAGCTTATAACTACAAGTCTGTGGGCTAGATCCTGTCCCAGGATAGCAAATGGATTTTCGTTTACATGCGAATTCAAATTTAGTGGTGTGGCTGCTTGGAGCCAATTGATAAGCATTCTGAGACCACGTCCAGGCTTGTTTGGAAAGAGTATTGTGGTCAATGAGTGATTCTGCCATGGTCATGAGCTTTATATGCTGCCATGCTACTCTTATACTACATGAATACAGCTTCTTCCGCTGAATGCATTATAAAAATTTCCAGGAAACTAAATGCTACCTTAATTGATTAAACGAATAACTGGGCTTTCTAGGGGATCTTTCAGGGGAAACTTATTTTTAGTAAATTGACCTTTTTCTTTTCTTTTTCTTTTTCTTTTTCTTTTTCTTTTTCTTTTTTTTTTTTTTTGGTCTTTCTCCCTGGTTGGAAGTGCAGTGGTCAATCCTGGATCACAGCAACCTCTGCCTCCCAAGTTCAAGTGATTCTCGTGCCAGAGCCTCCTGAGTAGCTGGAATTACAGGCACACACCACCATGCCCAGCTAATTCTTGTATTTTTAGTAGAGGTGGGGTTTTGCCATGTTGGCCGGGATGGTCTCGAACTCCTGAGCTCAAAGCAATCTGCCTGCCTCTACCTCCCAAAGTGCTGGGATTACAGGTGTGAGCCACCATGCCCAGCTCATTATTTTTAGTATAGTCCTAGATTTTCTTATATCCTTATAGGAAACTTTGAGGCGGGCACATTAGTTTTGTGGGACGTGTAAAGGGGTGTGGGTGTATCTGTGTGGTCTCGGTCTATGGTATATGACTGCATTATTGATAGGTAGGTGCCAGGAAGGCCCTGTGTTCAGTGACTTAGCTCACCCTTAGATAGTAAGAGTCAGAATGAACCATGGTTGCTTCCTGATTGCTAAGTTTTGTGAAAAGCCCTCTTAGTCCCCACCACAAGATTTTAACTCCATCCAACCAGCTTAGTAAACCTTCTGGATTTCAAGCCTTAATCTCAGGGAGGAAGTCAAACTTTATGAAATCACCTGATAATGTCAACTATATGTTTTAAAACCTTCTAAGCAGGATTTAGTAGGATTAGTTAGTTAGCAGAAAATAATTTGTTCCTAGCAAGCCCAGCAATTTGGTCACTGTTCCGTCATATAATTAGCCTCTCCCTCCGCCTCTGCTATGAGACCTTCTCAGATAACTCTCACTGCTATTGAATGACAGCCCCTAACATAACATTCATCTTAGCTCTTGCTAACCTACATAGTAACAGAAAAACCATAGACATCTGGAAGACATGGTCAATACTCTCATTTGTAGGTCTTCTCCCCACTTGACTTACTTGTCTAGAGGAGCGCTGTGCTCAATAAATATATCTAACTGATTGGTAACAAGGAATAATTTGACAGCTTGCCTTTCTGCAAAGTTCTAATGATTGAACTGATAACTTATATTTTGAATGTGACACAGGTGAGAAAGCAGATATAGTTGCTGTCTGTCCTTTGATGGAAGAGGGGCTGGAGAAAGTGATCTCCTTTCCAGTCCTGGTCTAATATTTTTTCAACTAGAATTAAGATTTTTGCATATAGCATGGGACAGAATGGATAGGAGGGAGGAAATCTGAGGATGCAAAGTAGGACCGACAGGAATGACGATCTTTGGAAAAGCTTCCGTACTATGTAGTGTCTTTTTTATTTTTTTTCTTGAAACAGTCTTGCTCTGTTGCCCAGGCTGGAGGGCAGTGACATGCTCTTGGCTCACTGTAAACCTGTGACTCCTGGGTTCCAGCAAGTCTCCTGCCTCAGCCTCCTGAGTAGCTGGGACTACAGGCGTGTGCTACCACTCCTGGCTAATTTTTGTATTTTTAGTAGAGATGGGGTTTCACCTTGTTGGCCAGGCTGGTCTTGAACTCCTGACTTCAAGTTATCCACCCGTCTTAGCCTCTCAAAGTTCTGGGATTACAGGCATGAGCCACTGCTCCTGGCCTGTAAAGTGTCTTTTTTTTTTTTTTTAATTTAAGCCTGATCAACATGGCAAAACCCTGTCTCTACAAAAATTAGCCTGGCATGGTGGCACATATCTGTAGTCCCAGCTACTCTGGAGGCTGAAGTGGGAAGATCACCTGAGACTAGGGAGGTTGAGCCTGCAGCAAGCTGGGATTGTGCCACTGCACTGGGCGACAAAGTGAGACCTTGTTTCATCAAAACAAAACAAAACAAAACAAAACACTTTATTCCTTGATGTATTTTCCATAGCTCACATTGTAATTTGGTTTTCTTTACAATTTTTATTTGGGATATGATTCACATGACATAAAATTCACCATTTTAGTATACAATTCAATTTTTAAAGTATATTCATAATGTGCAACCATTGCCGCTATCTAGTTACAGAACATTTTCATCAGTTAGCAGAAATGTCCCCTGCTTCATTCTTTGTATTAGTAATTTGAGTCTTCTCTCTTAGTTTCTTGGTCAAAGATTTGTCAATTATCTAGCTAACATTTGTTGACTTTTTAAAAAGAGAACCAGCCGGGCATGGTGGCTCATGCCTGTAATCCCAGCACTTTGGGAGGCCGAGGTGGGTGGATCACCTGAGGTCAGGAATTCCAGACCAGCCTGCCCAACATGGCAAAACCCCATCTCTACTGAAAATACAAAAATTATCTGGGCATGGTGTCGGGTGCCTTTGATCCTAGCTACTCGGGAGGCTGAGGCCAGAGAACAGTTTGAACCTGGAAAGTGGAGGTTGCAGTGAGCTGAGATCACGCCATTGCATTCCAGCCTGGGTGACAAGAGCAGAACTCTGTCTCAAAATAAATAAATAAATGAACGAATTAAAAAAAAAACCAACTTTTGGGTTAATTTGATTTTATGTATTTTTAAATTGTCTATTTTTAATTTCTGCCAAAATCTTTATTATTTCCTTTCTGCCTTTTGATTTGAGTTTTGTTTGATCTTTTTCTAGTTTCCTAAGGTGAACGATTATTGATTAGAGAGATTGCCATCTACTGCTCTAAATTTCCCTCTGAGAACTGCTTAGCTTCATTCCATAAGTTTTGATATGTTGTGTTTTCATTTTCATTCATCTCGAATTATCTTCTTGTTTCCTTTCTGATTTATCCTTTGACTCAGTGGTTATTTAAGAGAAGGTTGTTTAATGTCCACATAACTATGAATTTTCTAAATGCCCTTCATTATTCATTTCTCATTTAATTTCATTGTAGTTGGAGAGCATACTTTGTACGATTTCAGTCTTTCAAAATATATTAAGATTTGTTTTGTAGCCTAACATATGGTCTATCCTGGAGAATGTTCCATGTGCCCTTGAGATAAATGTGCACTCTGTTGTTGTTTGATGGAGTGTTCTGTATATGTATGTTAGTTCTAGATAGTTTTTGATATTGTTCATGTCTTCTATTTCCTTGTGGATCTTCCAACTAGTTGTCCTTTTCAGTCCCACCCTCTCAGGAGGAGGCTGAGGTGGGAAGATCACTTGAACCCAGGAATTTGAGGCTGTGGTAAGCATTGATCTCACTACTGCACTCCAGCCTGGGTGATGGAGTGAGACTCTGACTCTAAAGAAAAAAAAAAGAAGACTTACTTGTGTCATTATGCTATTTGTTTTTTATAGTCTTATGTACTTTTTGTTCCTGAATTCTTCCATTGCTGCCTGCTTTTGCATTAATTGGATATTTTTAGTGTGTCATTTTAATTTTCTTGTCATTTTTCTTTTCTGTAATTTGAATGTGTCCCCAAAAAGTATGTGTTAGAAACGTAATCCCTAATGCAGCAGTGTTCGGAGGTGGAGCCTAATGGGAGGTATTTAGGTCTGAGGGGTCTTCTTTCAGGAATGGACTAATGCTATAGTTGGAATAGGTTCATTATTGTGGGAATGGGTTCCTTATAAAAGGATGATTTCCGTTCTCTCTTGCTATCTCTTTTGCTCTCTTTTTGCCTTTCTGCCATGGAATGGCACAGCAAGAAGGTTCACACAAGATGCCAGCCCTTTGGTTTTGGACTTCCCAGCCTCTAAACCCATGAGTCAATAAGCTTCTGTTGATTATTAATTACCCATTGTATGGTATTTTGTTATAACAGCACACAATAGACTAAGACACTTTTCTAAAGATAAATCATCAATCAATCTTACTTGAGGATCCTTTTTACATGAGGACCTGCTTTTCTCGTGCTGTTTTCATTATTCTCTTCACCCTCGGTTTTTGAAAATTTGATTATGATACATCTAAGTGTGGAGCTCTTATAGTTTATCCCAGTTAGAGTTTGTTGAGCTTCTTGGACTTGTAAGTTAATGTTTTTCATCATATTTGGGAAGTTTTCAGCAATCATTTGTTCAAATATTCTTTCTGCCCCTTTCTCTACTTTCCTCCTGGATTTCCTATTATGCATATATTGATTTGTTTGATGATGCCATACAGATTTCTTGGGCTCTACTGATTTCCTTTATTCTTTTATTTTTTTTCTGTTCCACACTGCATAACTTCAATTGACCTTATTTCAAGTACTTTGCTTCTTCTGCTCGCTTAAATGTGCTGTTGAGCCCCCTCTAGTGAGCTTCCTTTTTCTTTCTTCCGCTGTTGTAGTTGTCAGAATGAGGTCCATTCTGTTCCCTCCACTACCAGAAGTGGAGGCTGTTACTTTCATGGCTACCACTGGGCTGGGAGGTGGGAAGTGGCGCAATCTCGGCTCACTGTAACTTCCACCTCCTGGGTTCAAGTGATTCTCCTGCCTCAGCCTCCTGAGTAGCTGGGATAACAGGTACGTGTATTTTTAGTAAAGACAAGGTTTCACCATGTTGGTCAGGCTGGTCTTGAACTCTTGACCTTGAAGTCTCATTATTCTTATTGACACTATGCCATTTTACTTGTCTAAGTTCTCCCTGGGTTGCTGCAAACCTCTGATTATTTTCCAGAGTTCTGGATAAATTGATTTTGGAAGTTTTTGCTAGGTTCTCTTTGCTTTTATGGAAGGGCAGAATTTTGGAATTTCTTATACCACCATTTTCATTAACATCAGTCTACAGTGACTTTGATGAAGAAGGAGCAAAAAAAGGAGACAAATAATTTATTTCTAGGGCAGAGATAAAACCTGAAAGGAGACTGGGCTATTGTAAGCTCATAGTAACCACTATTGTGTCAGGTATTGAGCTAAGTTTTTAAAATGTCTTAATTAATTTAGTGCTAACAGCAGTCCTCTGAGGCAGAAATTACTATCTCTATCTCATAGCAAAGAAAACTGAAGACTGAGATATTAAATTACTTCCTGAAGGTTATGCAGCCCATAAATGGTAGAGTCAGGTTTTGATCCCAGGTTTTCTGATCCCAATTGTGCTTTTAATTACTAGGCTACAACGATGTAGACTGAACTACCAAATATCACGGGGATCTCTGGGAAGACAAGTACTGGCTCAGCTCAGCAAGGTCAAAAAAGATACACAAAGAGGCCAAATTTTCTATCACATGGCATCTCTCCCCACGCTGGATTACATGATTGGCAGACTGATGTGCTTAGGACACCAAAAAAGTTATATTTTCACCTTGAAAAAAATCTCAAAATTTGTTGGACTTTTTCTTTCTTTCTTTCTTTTTTGAGACAGGGTCTCACTCTCTTGCCGAGGCTGGAGTGCAGTGATGCAGTCATGACTCACTATAACCTCATAATTTCAAACTCTTACACCCAGGTTAGCCTATTACCTCAGCTTCACAAGTAGCTGGGACTTGTGAAGCTACTTGTGAAGTACACCACCATGCCTGGCTAATTTTTAAATGTTTCTTAGAGCCAAGGGCTCGAACTCTTGGCCTCAAACAATCCTCCCACCTTAGTCTCCCAAAGTGCTGGGACGTGGCCTTGTTAGACTTGTTAATACTTATTTTATAGATTCGTTTTATCTCTGTCTGTCTTTATCTATCACATAATGAGGGGTTCAAGTCCTGTCTGCCTCCTTGCTGTTCTTTGGGTATGCTGATCATGCTCCTGCCTTTTGAGATCTTTGCTATTTCTGTTTGGTTAATGGTTGGGGCCTTGAAAAGTCTTCATGTGATCCCGGGATCTCAGCAAGTCTGAGGCCAAATGGCATAGGGTGGATGTCATTCTTTTAACACATTGTAGCAATGACCACACTCTGAAAACATGAGCAGATAGTCACTTTTTCAACAAATATAAATTAAGGACCTACTATGGGCTGAGTGCTATGGTAGGTGATGAGCATGCAATAATATGAGTTATGCCCAAGAGAATCTGAAAGTATACTTGAAGTTTGTATGCATGTGTGATGGGGGGAGATGTGGGAAGAATTTAAGATAAGAAATGGCTGTTTGGAGAAGGTAGCACATGAACTAGGCCATGAATGGACTTGTATGGGTAGAGCTAGCAGGGATTGATAGGCTTGCTTTGCAGATAGAATCTAACAAATTGGCGGTATCAAATTCATCTTTTCTGTGTCATTATTAACAGGAGTGGGGTACTTTTACTTCTTAGAATTGAGTACTTCACATATCTGGGATCTAATCTGAACCCGGAAAGTTTCTAGAAAAGATTTTGTTGGAGGAATCTGTCTAGATCTTCTTCTGGTCCCTCCTCCCTTTTCCTGAGGCCAAATGGCATAGGGTGGCCATCAAAAAGGGACACTCCTGAGGCTGGGCGTGGTGGCTCACGCCTGTAATCTCAGCACTTTCAGAGGCCAAGGCAGGTGGATCATGAGGTCGGGAGATCAAGACCATCCTGGTCAACATGGTGAAACCCCGTCTCTAATAAAAATACAAAAAATTAGCCAGGTGTGGTGGTACGCCCGTAGTGTCAGCTCCTTGGGTGGCTGAGGCAGAGGAATCTCTTGAACCCAGGAGGTGGAGGTTGCAGTGAGCTGAGATCGCGCCACTGCACTCCAGCCTAGTGACAGTGTGAGACTCCGTCTCAAAAAAAAAAAAAAAAAAAAATAGGACATTCCTAAATCTCATCCCTGGATATAATTTTCCTTAAGGATATTTCACTGAAAGAATAAAAGCTACCAATTTAAGATAAAAAAGAAAGTGCTCAAATATAAAGTATTTGCTTTATATAAAGATAATCATTTTCCTTACTGTTTTCTTTTTAATATGATAATATTATTTTAAAAGGAATTAAAACATCAAATAATCCTCAGCATGACTATATAGAACTAAAAGCTAGGAATCAAATTGCAAGAGACAAACGTGATCATCTGTACGTCACATAAAGAAAAAAGATTGTGACATTAGCCCCTTTGTTTTGTCATCTGTGGCCCTGTGACCTAACTGCAGGGAAAGTAGCTCCAGAATAGGAAGAGGTATGTCTTGAGAGTGTTTGGTGATTTACTTCCACAATTATGAAATGACGGTAAACACCATTTCGAGGCCGGTTACGGCCACCGCCTCCCAATCACACACAAAACACCCCAAACTCCAAACAAACCCAGGCACTTTATGAGAGGATGGGTACTGCCTGCTGCTCTGTTCCCTTCCAGGGAGGTGCTCCACGTGTCCCTTCTTTTCCTCCGGGTCATCAGCGCCTGTGCAGATGGCAAGATCCGAATTTACAATTTCCTCGACGGGAACTGTTTGAAGGTGATAAAAGCCAATGGCAGAGGCGATCCTGTGCTGTCCTTCTTTATTCGGGGCAACAGGTGGGTGGTAGGTGTGGAGGTCAGAACTGTGAGTGATTCTGTTTGATTTTTTTCCTCCCCTGGGATTCCAGCCCTGGATCTGCTGTCAGCAGGAGAGCGTGGGTAGTGTCTCTCTACAGTTTTGGCTGGGCGGAGCGACAGTCTTGTGGTGGGGACTAATAGGGCTTTGCACGAAACTTAGTGATCAGGAAGCAATCATGGTTCATTTTGACTCTTAACTCATCCTGCGTGTTTGTGGGAATTGCAGTGGGTGCGCCGTAACACTTCTGGAAGGACCGCAGTTCTATCAACGTGCAGCCCCTGCTTGCTTTGTGATCATGCCTTTGGCTGCGTGAGAGTTATATCAGCTATCTCTGATGCCTCACTTCTAATGCAAAGGGACAAATAAGAGGGTGGGGGGGTGGCAGCAGCAGCGGGTACGGTGAAGGAGAGCTGAGCTGGTGAGCTTACGAAACTAGTACCTTGACTGTCTGCATTGTATACAGTACTGAGCCTTTTATATGCATGGAGTCAGGTGCTATTATATAAAAATAACCAAATAGAACTAACCTATAAATTCTACTTCAAGCTCACTTGAGGCATCACTAATCTTTCTGAACCATATTGGCTTCCTTTTAGTGAAACTTCATTAGTACTATTTACCATCTCAGAGGGCAGCCTGGTAATAAGGCTCAATTAATGAACACTTTTCAGTCATGCTGCTAAAAAAAAAAAAAAAGCTCAGACCATGTTTTATTCACAGCATCCAAAGAAAGGTGATTTCCTTTTGGCTTGAGTAAAAATAAGTCTAAAAGAGATTTCTTATTGCAATGACTCCCCCCATTCCATTCCAGCCGTTCCAGGCAAAAGAAGTTACTTTTCTAGAGAGTTTATGCTATTGGTTAAGGTCTTAATGTTGCAGCCTTTTGGAGCAGAAAGGAGCCTGCGCAGTGTATTTCCATTTCTTTCTTATAGTTAATGGAAGAGCACAGACAGCGGAAATCCACTTGCTTGTGAAACTGGGGGGTCGGGGAGGCAGTGCTAAGGGGGACAGGAAGGAGATAGGGAGGGGAAGTTCTAGAGCTCTTTGTCTATGGAGCATAAAAGTGGGGATTAGAGAAGTTAGAAATCACCTCGCTTTATAAAGCACAGGTGCTCTGTCTACATCTAGGGTATGTGCAGAGATCCTGGAGTGACAGCGTGGAGTGTGTGTGTCTGTGCAGAGGATCTGAGAAGGAGATGAGGCCTCCTCACTAGAGAGCTTCCCTCATTCCCAACAGCAATAGTAATATTGGGTTTGGAAACTGTGCAAAACAAAACAGTGAAACAATCCAGTGAATTTCAAGACATCTGTGCACAGAGGCACTCACTCCAGGAACAGAAATTCATTTAAAAGCATTTTAACTTGAGGCTGGGCATGGTGGCTCATAATCCCAGCATTTTGGGAGGTCGAGGCAGGTGGGTCGTTGAGTTCTGGATTTCAAGACCAGCCTGGGCCATATGGGGAAACCCTGTCTCTACTAAAAACACCAAATGAGCCGGGCATGGTGGCACGTGCCTGTAGTCCCTGCTACTCAGGAGGCTGAGCCATGAGAATTGCTTGAACCCAGGAGGTGGAGGCTGCAGTGAGCCGAGATAATGCCACTGCACTCCAGCCTGGGTGACAGAATGAGACTCTGTCTCAAAATAAATTTTTTAAAAAAGGCATTTTAACTTGATAAGTGAAATAATCAGAACATATGTGCCCTGATCATGTTTATTTTTTAAAGAAAAGTGACAAAGCTAACGAATCCTGCCACATGGCCTGATACACCACTCTCCACCCTCCAGCCCCCTACACCAGTAGTCTGCTGGGTCGTTACCTGGACACTGTTCCCTTGGTCTAAAGATCAGGTGGGACAGTAACTGCAGTGCATCGCTCAGTGGCCTCCACGCTCCATTTATGGGCAACCCTGTTTTGGTTCCAGGATGGTGGTCAACACAGAGAGCAATGTTCTCATGTTCCAGTTTGAGCACATAAAGTGGCAGTATGCCATGGACAAAATGAAACAAAAGAAGAATAAGGAGAAAGAGGAGGAAAAAGAAGAAAATATCCTCATGGAAATTCTCTCCAAGTCTAACACTCAGGTTCACAGCCCGAGAGAGTCTGTATCCAGTAAACAAACTGTGATCCAGGAGCTCCTACCAAAGAAACCTCCGAAGTCCCGAGTACTCCTGAAGCCGGCCAAGTTATCTTCAGGTAAAAAAACTGAAATACCAGCAAGTTGAGTGATAAGCCACAGTGTAGGTCGGGGCTTGGTGGGGGTGGTGGGAACAGGGGAAGGCTGGTTTCTTTGTGGAATGTTTTGGCCAATGGTTTCCTGAGGATATAAATCCTCACCCTTCAGGAAGGTAGGAGCCATTCTCTCTGATCCGCCAAACAATTTATCAGCCGGTTAAAGGGAACCTTCTGATTTGCAAGAGCTAGCTTTTCAAACTTATAAGAATCTTTGCACAGGAGATAAGACTAGCCTTAATAATTGCCCCTGAAACACAAAGCAAGCAACCAACACCCCATCCCCCCAATTCAAAACGTATGTTATAAAACTGTTTCGGGCCGGGCGCGGTGGCTCAAGCCTGTAATCCCAGCACTTTGGGAGGCCGAGGCGGGCAGATCACGAGGTCAGGAGCTCATGACCAGCCTGACCAACATAGTGAAACCCCGTCTCTACTAAAAAAATACAAAAATTAGCCGGACGTGGTGCCACACACCTGTAATCCCAGCTCCTGGGGAGGCTGAGGCAGGAGAATCGGTTGAACCTGGGAGGCGGAGGTTGAGGTGAGCCGAGAGCGCACCATTGCACTCCAGCCTGGGCGACAGAGTGAGACTCTGTCTCAAAAATAAAAATAAATAAATAAATAAAACTGTTTCTTCAAGACAGAGACAAAAGTTGCTGTAAACAGAAAAATGATCTATGCAGAATGTGTTGTTTTTAGACCTGAGAGATCATGTTTGTAGCTGGAAAATCTTACATATAAAGCAGGTGTGTGTGTGTGTGTTTGTGTGTGTGTGTGGATGTCGGTGGGGGTGTAGGCATGGTCAATGCCATTTATAAGACATCCAAAGAATAATCATGTGTGGGTTAGGGTGGCAAGACTCCTTCCTTTTACCAGTCCTATATAGGGGGAGTCAGGATGAGATCTAGAACTTAGACTTGTCAACCTAAATTAATCGAAAGATTCAGGATCTTGCTAAAACAGTTTTCCCAAGTGCAAAGTTTGAGGGCAGCATCCAGGGGCACAGGGACATCAAAGACTAGTGTGACCAGTGCTGCTGGGGTGGGGAAAAAGGAAGATCCTTTACATAGACAGAAACAGAGGTGCTGAACAGAATTCAGTTTTCCATACAAAGGCTAACATACAGAGATGTAAGACTAGATTGGTTCTATTGATTACACTCTAATGGATTGCTTAACCTTCTGCTGTAAAGAGGTGACAATCACAAGGGTGTCTGTCTCCACGTCATAGTCTCAGTTTCAATGAAGACTAGGGAGTCTGGTTAATGGAAAAGACCTCAACACAAAGGTCAGGGAGCAATGATCACACACCAGAGCAGGAAAACAGCTGCGCTATGCGACTCAGTCTCCAGGGCTTCACTTTTCCCCGTCGCGCAGTCAATTTAGAAGGTTGTTACACTCCCTTTACTTTTCACAGACTGCAGGTAACTATTTGGTTTCATATGACAACAAACAAATACGGTGTTTGGTAGAAAAATGCAGGTAGATGGAAGGAATAAGTTGCAGTGTTTGGTTGCACAGTAGGGTGACAACAGTTAACAATAAGGTATTGTGTGTTTCAAAATAGCTAGAGGAGAAGATTTGGAATATTCCTAACACAAAGAGATGATAGATGTTTAAAATGATGGATATCCTAATTATCTTGATCTAATCATTACACATTGCATGCATGTATCAAAATATCATATGTACTCCATAATTATGTATCTATAAAAAACAAGATAGTGATATTTTGTATAAAAATCAGTCCAATTATCAGCCCCCTTTATTACTGATTATATTATTTTATGCCCTAATTGAAGTGTATGATTACTACGTTTTCTTAATCACAATTTAGCAATGTTAACAGAGGAACCTGAAAGTCAAGGAAAGTCAAAATTACCCCGGAGAGATGGTAAGAGGAGAGTTTATTCAGTTCATAAGGGAACAAATGGCATGGATGGTGGGCAGGGGCATTTGGAGGCAAAATCCATGGCAGGAGACAAGACAAACAGTGATACTTAATTCTGAATTAGTGGCAAGATCCAAACTCTCTCTCTGTCTCTCTCTAGTTTCATATTGTTTTGCAGGTTGCAGTGAGCCAAGATTGTGCCATTGCACTCCAGAAAAAAAAAAAAGGAGCCATTGCACTCCAGCAACAAAAGAAAAAAAAAAAAAGATCCACAATACGCTATCATTTGAAAAAAGACAAATTAATAAACAATGAGCTCATCACAATCCCTTTTTGTATAAAAAGAGAAAATTTCTCTTTTTGAGTTTGGAAGGTGAATAGGGAAGATTTTGACATTTTAATTTCACTCAGTTTTTTGTTTTTTGTGTTTTTTTTGAGATGGAGTCTTGCTCTGTTGCCCTGGCTGGAGTGCAGTGTCCCAATCTTGGCTCACAGCAACCTCCGCCTCCGGAGTTCAAGCAATTCTCCTGCCTCAGCCTCCCGAGTAGCTGGGACTACAGGTGCCCACCACCATCCTCAGCTAATTTTTGTATTTTTAGTAGAGATGGGGTTTCAGCATGTTGGCCAGGCTGATCTCGAACTCCTTACATCAGGTGATCTGCCCGCCTCAGCCTCCCACAGTGCTGGGATTACAGGCATGAGCTGCTGCGCCCAGCCACTCAGTTATATATGTCCTAATACAATATTGTTTAGTTAAGAAAGTAAAGATCGGGGAAAATGTGATGTTTCATTCCCTCCTAGTGTGTCCATGCACAAACATCTTGGGATAAAATCTATTTGGCCAAGGGAAATTACATGCTTCACACACTGTTATATTTTATTTTCTGGTATAGCCTGGGGTACAGATTTTACTTGTTAGGGGTTAGACTAGGCAAACAACCTTTACTTTTCATGACTCAGTTACTCCTTTTTTAAAATGAGGACAATGCTTTTGGTGTTTCTGTGAGGTATTGTAGGGATTGAAAAGTTCAAATGAGAAAGGCATAATAGATTTGCTCGCCTGTGAAGATACCTTTGTTAACTTAATGGTCTTCATACCTCTGAGGTCTTGATCAAAACCAACATGGCAGAAGGAGTCTCTGATTCAGCTCAGTAGCTCTTGGACCTGTTGCTAATCATTCATTTTGGGAACTCCTCTTTAGGAACTGCCTTTTAGTCATGTTGTGATTATTTGCATTACTGCGGGGTGACATGTTATTGGAAGACAGGTTTTATTTTGAGCAACATTCAAGATTATTTGGAATCAAATTTGATTAATAAGATAAAGTTCAAATTTTGTGATATAATTATTGTTGAAAAATATAAGTATGACTATAAATTTATAAGATCTGCTTTGTGTGAATCCTAGATGGTACGTGAAGGTTATTCCCAGCTTCACATTTTCAAAAATGTGTGGAGCATTGAAATCACACCTGTTGCCTTCAAAATATGCACACCTAGAGGCTAATATACACTTTACTCAATACTAGCATTTCGTTAAAAACTTGTTTTAGGCAAGGTGCTGTGGCTCATACCTATAATCCCAGCACTTTGGGAGGCCGTGGCGGGTGGATCACCTGAGGTTGGAATTTTGAGACCAGCCTGACCAACATGGAGAAACCTCACCTCCACTAAAAATACAAAATTAGCCTGGCATAGTGGTGCATGCCTGTAATCCCAGCTACTCGGGAAGCTGAGGCAGGAGAATCACTTGAATTTGGGAGGTGGAGGTTGCGGTGAGCTAAGATTGCACCATTGTATTCCAGGCTGGGCAACAAGAGCAAACCTCCGGCTCAAAAACAAAACAAACAACAACAAAACCTTGTTTTATTAAATCATTTCTAGTATCTTCATTTCTTTTTTTTTTTTTCTGATGGAGTCTTGCTCAACCACTCAGGCTGGAGTTCAGAGGCTGAATCTTGGCTTACTGCAACCTCTGCCTCCTGGGTTCAAGCAATTCTCCTGCCTCAGCCTCCTGAGTAGCTGGGATTACAGGCACCTGCCATCATGCCTGGTTAAATTTTGTATTTTTGGTAGAGATGTGGTTTTGCCATGTTGGCCACGCTGGTCTTGAACTCCTGACCTCAGGTGATCCACCCACCTTAGCCTCCTAAAGCACTGAGATTATAGGCGTGAGTCACCACGCCTGGCCTAGTGTCCTCATTTCTAATGCCACTGACGATGCCTGCCTGTACAATGGCATACCTGTTGGGCAACAAAGACCTCAATGTGCTTCAAAGTTAGAATGCCCAAGTCCTTAATGCATACAATTTTAGAATGCCCAAGTCCTTAATGCTCAACATTTTTCACAGAATGCCAATTTGTTTTTATTTTCTTTTTTTGAAAAAGCGGATGATGTGGAAAAAGGACAAAAACAAGGAGAATTGGAAACTGCAGAGGAATTGATCAATCACCCAGAAAGAAAGTCTTGGAAAATCCCTATGTCACCTGATCGATTCCTCCTGACTGTCAGCGCCCTGCAGCAAGCCCATAATTCTGGGGAATTTGCCTATCCCTGTAGGCCCCAAACAGAAATCATTGATGCCTGGGGACCTTCAATTACATACCCAAGGAAGGTCTTGAATCTCAAAGGAAAATCAATCCAACATGCAGTTGATCGGTTGAGATTCAGCAATCCTCCCATAGATGTGAAACAAACCAGTATTCCCCTTGAAATCCAGAAACTGCAGCCCAACTTGAAGAACTCTTTGCACAGTCCCAGAGTCCAGTCCACCATACCCCAGCCCGTGATTATCCGCTCCAGGTTCTCTGGCAGCTTAAAGGGTGGAGACCAAGTGACCAGTTCAATTGAAAGGGCAGTGTGCAGTACGGGTCCCCTGACCAGTATGCAGGTCATTAAACCAAACCGCATGCTAGCTCCACAAATGGGCACAGCCACCCTGTCTCTTAAGAAAGAGCGGCCTCGCATCTACACAGCCCTTGATCCCCTTAGAGTGAACACTGAGTTCGTGCTGTTGACTGTGAAGGAGGAGAAAGAGTACCAGGAAGCCAAGATGAAGGAATATCAGGCCAGGGAGTCCACTGGAATGGTTGATCCAGAAAAAGCTCGCAAAGCTGCGTGGATCAGAAAAATCAAAGGCCTGCCTATTGATAATTTCATGAAGCAAGGGAAAACAGCCGCCCCTGAACTTGGACAAAATGTGTTTATCTAAACCAGCCTTGGGAAATTACAATGTCTTAAACAATAAACAGAAAGCCAAATGGATGTTGCTGTTTGGCCTTTTTTTTTTGACTGTTTCTTCCTGGTAATTAACATGGGAACTCTTAATTGTTTTCCTCTAAGCCAAATATCTGATATCGTCAAAATAAGAAAACAGAAGGAGGCTGGGAGAGACTGGCTTCTGTAGTCCCACTGAAAACAATTTAGTGAGCATTAGGAAAACTCAGCTTCATTGATGGGGAATGAGGAGATGATCATGGGAAATTACATACTATTCATTACTACCAATCTAGTGCTATTAGTTCTTCCAGCAAATGAAGTCATGGATTATATCAGGGTAACGAATTGGAGTTTTCTGGTATTTTTATGTAGAAGCCTGACGAAACCCACTGAGTTAAGAATTTGAAAGGGGAAGCACTCAATGGGATTGACCTGGTTGCATTTGATGACATTGAGCTTTTCCTTTTCAGGGCTAACTCCTAAGGAAGAGAATTAGCATATTTATCCTCTGTACAAAGAGGACCAGTAACATCAAGTGCATTGAGGTTTCTGCTTAAACCTTTGGACTGCGGTGTCAGGGACTAGGTAATTTAGAAGAGTGCAGCCCACTACAAAAGCTATCGCCCACTGGAAAGTTCAAGCCTTGGCCAGGCATGGTGGCTTACACCTGTAATCCCAGCACTTTAGGAGACCCAGGTGGGTGGATCACCGGAGGTCAGGAGTTTGAGACCAGCCTGACCATCATGGTGGAACCTCGTTTCCACTAAAAATACAAAATTAGCTAGACCTCGTGGCACATGATTGTAATCTCAGCTATTCAGGAGGCTGAGGCAGGAGAACTGCTTGAACCCGGGGTAGAGGTTGCAGTGAGCCAAGATCGCCACTTCACTCCAGCCTAGGCAACATGGTGAGACTCTGTCTCAAAAAAAAAAAAAAAAATTAATATAGGGCAAACACAATAAACTAATTTTGTGTGACGTTTGTTGAGTACCTGAAAATTCTTCTACTTAAAAAAGGAAAAGGAGTTTTGACTTATCTTGACAAGCCTTTAAAACATGAGCATGGCAGACACGGTCCGGCAGCCTCTTCCCAGTGAGGGTCTTCAGTGGCATTTACTGCAGGTGTCAGCTGATGCTGTGTCTCTCCTGGGCCCGGGTAACTTCAGGGACCTCAGTGACAGCTTCCCCCCTCAGGCTTCCAGAAAAGCAATAGGCAACCAGGGAAATAGAAGTTATCATTTTAAACAATCTTGACAAATTGTAGAAATTTTACTGGTATTGCTCACATCTCTAGGTTTTTGAGCATTTTTTTTTCCCCATGAAGATTAGATTATAAACATTGTGTCGATGCTTCTACATGTGTTCATGACCCAATTGGCCTCTTTGATACTTGAATAGTAACACTAGTCTGAGGAAGTGAAACTTTTGAAACATGTTTATAAATACATATATTCTTATCGATAATTTATTAACATACATGTTCAGCAATCTGAAATCTTTAAATTTAGGCAAATATTAATAATGACCAGTATGACCAGTATAATAGTCAATGAAATAGCTTCCTTAATTTTTAATGTCTTTCAATTTATGTCTCGTCTGTTAATTTTTCTGTTTTCATTCTGTTTTAGTCTGTGAATGTATTGTATATTCTTTATAATTTATTTTTACTTCTATTATTTTTCTGCAAAAAATAAAGATTTCTCTTTTGGGTAGTTATAACCACAGCAAAAACAATTAGATCATATAAATCACTTCATAAGTGTCTCCTTTTCCACCAAAATCATTTACAAGAGTAGTTAGTGACAAGTGAAAAATGTATATTTGACTTAAAAATCAAAATTAGTGTGTAAAATATAATAATTAAAAAATATATAAATATGTCACCCAAATGTCACATGCCATTTAATACAAATTATGCTTGGATTAAGAAACTTGCAAAGACTTCCTATGATTTCTACAAATTTCTAGGAAAGGCTAATGCACTCATTGTCAATCCAACTAAAGAGTGCTTTCAGTTAATTTTTATACATAAGACAAGGGTACAATTTTATTCTTTTGTATGTGGATATCCAGTTTTCCCAGCATCGTGTATTGAAGACTTTCCTTTCTTCATTGTGCATTTTAGGTGTCCTTGTCAAACATTAGTTGACCATATATGTATGGGTTTATTTCTGGGTTCTTTCTTTTGTTTAATGAGTCTATGTGTCTGTTTTTATACCAGAACCATACTGATTTAATTACTATAGTTTTGTAATATTGTTTGAAAACAGGGAATGTGATGTTTCCAGCTTTGCTCTTTCTCAAAATTGCTTTGGCTATTTGGAGTCTTTTGTGGTTTCATACATATTTTATGATTGTTTTCTATTTCTGTGAAAGATGCCATTGGAAATTTGATTGGAATTTCATTGAATCTGTAGATCACTTTGAATAGTATGGACGTTTTAACAATGTTAATTTATTTTAATCTTTGTACATGGGATTTTGTTCCATTTATTTTGTCTTATTCAATTATTTTTGACTGTACACACTGTTCTGCATTTCATTTATTTCTTTGCTTATTTTTTAAGTTCAGGGGTACAAGTGCAGGTTTGTTACATAGGTAAACTTGTGTCACGGGGGTTTGTTGTACAGATTATTCAACACACAAGCATTAAGCCTAGTCCTCATTAGTTATTTTTCCCAATCCTCTCCGTCCTCCCACCCTCCACCCTCTGGAAGGCCCCAGTGTGTGTTGTTCTCCTCTGTGTGTCTGTGTGTTCTCATCATATTGCTCCCACTTGTAAGTGAGAATATGCAGCCTCTGGTTTTTTGTTCCTGTGTTAGTTTGCTAAATATAATGGTCTGCAGCTCCATCTTTAAGCCATAGAGAAACCTCTAAAATAAGACAAAATTATGTAATTAATAAGCCAAAGTCAATATAAATGTAATTACTTAACATTTCTTTTCTTTTTTTTTTTTTTTCTTTTCTTTTTGAGATGGAGTCTTGCTCTGTCACTCAAGCTGTAGTGCAGTGGCACAATCTTGGCTCACTGAAACCTCTGCCTCCCAGGTTCAAGTGATTCTCCTGCCTCAGCCTCCAGAGTAGCTGGGACTACAGGCACCTGCCACCATGCCTGGCTAATTATTTTTTTCTTTGTATTTTTAGTAGCAATGGGGTTTTACCATACTGGCAAGGCTGGTCTCAAACTCCTGACCTTGTGATCCGCCTGCCTTGGCCTCCCAAAGTGCTGGGATTACAGGTGTGAGCCACCGTACCTGGCTGATGTTTTTTAATTTGAAAGAAAACAGAGCCAACAAAGAGGGAGGGGCAAAAGAACAGATAGTATCAATAGAAAAAAAATGGAATGTTGTATTAAATCTAACCACATAAATAACTATATTAAATTTAAATTGTTTTCACACTTTAGGTAAGACAGACATATCATATTGGGTAAACAAATGGCTAAAGACCCAACTTTGTCTAAATTTGTCCAAATGAAACCAAAACGAAGATATATTACTTTTTTACTGACATGTATTTATAGTAATAAAATTATACCTGTAGTTTTTTTTTTCAGTAAAGATTTTAAAATAAAAACTCAGAGGTTTGGCCAGGCACGGTGGGTCATGCATATAATCCCAGCGCTTTGGGAGGCCAAGGCAAGTGGATCAGGAGGTCAAGAAATCAAGACCATCCTGGCCAACATGGTGAAACCCCATCTCTACTAAATACAAAAAATAAGCTGGGCATGGTGGCAGGTGCCTGAAGTCTAAGCTACGTGGGAGGCTGAGGCAGGGGAATCACTTGAACCTGGGAGGCGGAGATTGCAGTGAGCTGAGATTGTGCCACTGCACTCCAGCCTGGGCGACAGAGCAAGACTCGGTCTCAAAAAGAAAAAGAAAGAAAAAAAAAAAGAGGCTTTCACTGAGAAATCTGCCATTCTCTTTATTTGTGTTTCTCTTTTATCCTCTGGCTAATTTTAAGGTTGAATTTTTATTACTATTTTGGAAAAATTTAACTTTGATATTCCCCGTGGCAGTTTATGTTTCTTGTGCTTGGATTTTCTTTCTTTCCTTCCTTCCTTCCTTTCTTTCTTCTTTCTTTCTTTCTTCTTTCTTTCTTTCTTCTGAGATATTCGGATCTGTGACTTATGTTTTTATCAAATTTGAAAACTAAACCATTAAAAATTATTTTCTGTACTCCATCTTTCTCCTTTAAGGGATTCAAATTCCATAAACATTATGTGGCTTGGAGTAATCTCGCAGCTGGCTAATGCACTTTTCTGTTGAGAAATATTAAGTTTACCCTGCCCCTGTGGCTCCCTCGTGGAGAATACCTTTTAGTTTGGCTGTAATCAGTAGTGAGCAGGTAACAGCTGCTTACTTGGTATATTTTTGAGTTATGGGAAAGTACAGAACACCTGTTTGTTAATAATAGTCACCTGTTCAGAGAGAATAAATACATGGATCAGCATTTGCTCCGGACCTTCAGCCTGGAATACTGTCAGCCCCTGAGGCTCTCTGCTCAGTGGGCAGCTTGCCCGCCCCACCCCCCACCCCCCTTTTCCTGTTCTATCCGGCTGTTTGCCTCTCACTTCCTTCAGTGCCACCTGGG